TATGGGAAAACCCCAATGCATAACACTCATAGATTATATATATATATTTATATACATAAACACACACATGTATGTATGCATATGATATATATGTATACTATCGATTTCTCCGTTACACAAAATTATATAGATACACATACTCCTGTGCATGTATACATATATATATACAATATATATGTATATATAATGTAAATAGGCAGTATGATATAACTATATCCTAAATTTGATTTAATTATGCTTGTGAGAATGATGGACAATGCGAATATGAACCGAAATGAAAGACATTAATTGCGACTGCGTTCTATTATGAAGCTTTCTTTGTGGCGCTACTGATGTGGGAAGAATCACATTACCAATTCATGCATAGTTTTCTATCATTTTTTTAAAGCGTTTTCTTTAGATTGATTTATTTTCATTTATTTCATTATGTAATTTCATAGAACAGAAAAATGATAATGCGAAATAAATAGCGATATGAAAAAAATCATGATAAATATATGGTCAATTTACTGAAGGATATCTGAGGGAAAAGACTGTTGACCTTTCCGGCATCTTTAAAAAAATGTTGGGCAGAATGACCACATGTCACAAAGATGAGAACGCTAATTTGGTTTGTTTTATTTCATTTATTTATTTATTTAATAAGGACCAAGACCTTTTAGGAGGCTCTCATTCAGGATTTTCACTGGGAAATCCTGATAAAGGAATGATGGAAAGTAATTTTTAGTATACCATGGCACTGTCATGTCATGTCACGAGGAAGGAGGGCCAACCAGAGGACTCGAACATCCGAGAGAAAATACGTGTCATAAGGAGAAGCGCGACAGAAGACAATTGGTCAAAGGCTAATCTGAAATGGCCTTGTACGTTTCTTTTCGCGATATATAAGTTTAAATAGATAGATGCTTATCTAGGTTCTGATATTTATATATGTATATATAGTTATATATGTATGTATGTATATTATAGACTAATAGACTGATCAATAGATAGATTGATATATAGAAAGGCTGATTGAAGGATATACAGATCTATCTATCTCTATGAATATACATTAACTATACATACACATTTCCAGTTATTTTCATATGATTACCTGAGTATAACATAGACGATAATGGAAATATCGATATCGCTGTCCAGATGATGATAATTGTCCAGCTGAGAGTAGAAACACTGCATTTCAAGGGCTCGATAACCACTCCCTCAGGCTATGAGAGAAAGGCCTGCAGCGGAGTCAACGCACGAACGCACACACACTGTCGCATATATAAGGGGAAGTGTCAATCACCAGTTATCATTCACTCTCTAACCATGTCTCTCAAGGTACGAAGTCGTCCTCTGAAAAGAAATTCAGGCATTTTATATGTGAATTTTCAGTGAAGGAAAAAATGGAAAGTTTTGTTTAAATTATCTTTATATTCTATGATTATTTTTTGTTTATTCATGCATTTCTCTCCCTCTCTTAACTAATAGAATTTTTGATGATAATCCATCTTTCTTCCTTTTCCTCCTTTAAAATAAGTAACATGCAACACTGTCCACAGGTCGTCGTCCTCGCCTACGTGGCTGTCGTCGCTCTGTGCGATAAGGCACCAGTCCACGAACCCCTTCCCCCCGTCTACACCCCTAGACCTGCCTATCACGCCCCTGCACCTTATCACGCCCCCGAACCAGCCTACCACGCCCATGCACAATACGAGCCCGAATACCCCGATGTGAGTATTGTGCAACCACTAAGCAATCAGTCACAACAATTATCATTTATGACTTAATTGTTATTTTTTTTCGTTATCGAATCTGTCCTCCAGTTTTGACATTTTTATATAGATATAAAGCACAGTGGATACATAATACGAAACGTTTTACATTAAACTTTCAACTCCTCAGGTGCCCCCGAAGTACAACTACAACTACGGCGTCGCCGACGGTTACTCCGGCGCCAACTTCGCCGCCTCGGAGTCCCGCGACGGCTACAAGACCGAGGGCGGCTACACCGTGGACCTCCCCGACGGCCGCAAGCAGATCGTCAAGTACGTGGACAATGGCGACGGTTATGTAGCTGAGGTCACCTACGAGGGCGAGGCTCAGTACCCCGAGTACAAGCCCACCTACAAGCCTGCTCCCCACGCCTATGCCCACCCAACCCCCGCCTATGCCTAAGAAGTGCTCGAGGTTTTTAGAGAAAATCTATAAATTTCCTGATGATTCGTGGATTTTCAGGCTCATATATTCTGACAAGCTACTCTAAATAAAGACCTTATTTTTTATAAACATGAAATATTATTTAACAGAAAGTCTAACTCATCAGGTCTCACACCAAATTGAATTGAATTGTATTTCACCGAACTATACTCTTTCATACAAACCAGATATATCGTGGTCAAACAACGATCGGGATGAATAGATAAAGAAAAAGAATAAATGAAATAAAGGATAAAGTACAAAATAAAACGAGGAATGAAAAATTAATTATTACTCTTTTTACAAACTTAAAGCAAAACGATGTGAAAGAGAGAGTTTAGAGATAAAAAAGGAGGCATAGAACTTTTTCCACCTTCGAAACATTTACTGAAAGATAAGATAAAGATATATATATAAACTCACACACATATGTATATATATAAACACATAAGTATATATATATGTATGTATGTTTGTATATAAATACACACATATATATGTGTGTCCGTATATATACATAAACACATCTCTATATCTGTCTATATATGTATACATATATACATATACAAACACACACATGAATATATATATATATCGATATGTATATGATATATATACATATGTTTACATATATATATATATATATATACATACATATACATAATATATATATGTATATACATATACATATATATACATATATAATATATGTATACATATACATACACACACACACATATGTATATATGTATATATACATATATGTGTGTGTGTGTGTGTGTGAATGTAATTATAATACAAATATAGATATGTATATATGATATATATATATATATTTATATATAATGTAATAATATATATATAATATAATTATATATATATATATAACGGAATAGGCAGTGATATAACTATATCCCAACTATGCTTTATTTATGCTTGTGAGAATGACTGGCAATTCGAATATGCACCGAAATGAATGACATTAATTGCGATCCCGTTGTATTAAGAAGCTTTCTCTTGGGCAGCTACTCATGGGGAAAGAATCACACTACCAGTTCATGTATTGTTTTAAAACATTTTTCTTTCAATCTTTTTTATAGATTTATTTATTCATCATGTAATTTCATAGAAAATATGATTATGCGAAATAAATAGTGATATGATAAAATCGTAATAAATATTTGATCAATTTACAGTAGGGTGTCTGAGGGAAAAGAGTGTTGACCCTTCCTTATTCTTTAAAAAAAAGTTGGACAGAATGACCACATGTCACAAAGATAAGAATGATATTATTGTTTGTTTTATTTCTTTTTTTTTGCTTTGTTTTTATTTTAATAAGAACCAAGACCTTTTAGGAGGCTCTCATTCAGGATTTCCACTGGAAAAAAACACAGACGCTTGTTACTCTTAGGAAAAAAAAGGAAGAACGGATAAAGGAAAAATGGAAAGTAGTTTTGAGTTCAAGGATATGACAGGGTTCGGTTCTGGCATACCATGGCACTGTCATGTCATGTCACGAGGAAGGTGGGCCAACCAGAGGACTCGAACATCCCGAGAGAAAACACGAGTCACGAGAAAAAGGAGGCATAGAACTTTTTTCATCTTCGAAACATAAGATAAAGATACATATATATATAAACACACACATATGTATATATACATAATCACATATGTTTATATATATATGTATGTATGTTTGTATATATATACACATATATATGTGTGTCCGTATATATACATAAACACATATATCTATATATCTGTCTATATATGTATACATATATACATATACAAACACACACATGAATATATATATACATCGATATGTATATCATATATACACATATGTTTACATACATTTATATACATATATATACATAATATATATATGTATATACATATACATATATATACATACATATACATAATATATGTATACATATACATATACACATACACATATATATCTATATATACATATATATGTGTGTGTGTGTGTGTGAATGTAATTATAATACAAATATAGATATGTATATATATAATATATATATATGTATATATAATGTAATAATATATATATAATATAATTATATATATATAATGGAATATGCAGTGATATAACTATATCCCAACTATGCTTTATTTATGCTTGTGAGAATGACTGGCAATACGAATATGAACCGAAATGAATGACATTAATTGCGACTCCGTTGTATTAAGAAGCTTTCTCTTGGGCAGCTACTCATGGGGAAAGAATCACACTACCAGTTCATGTATAGTTTTCTAGCATTTTTCTTTAAATCGTTTTTATAGATTAGTTTATTCATTATGTAATTTCATAGAAAATATGATAATGCGAAATATATAGTGATATGCCAAAATCGTAATAAATATACTGTCAATTTACAGAACGGTGTCTGAGGGAAAAGAGTGTTGACCCTTCCTTATTCTTAAAAAAAAGTTGGGCAGAATGACCACATGTCACAAAGATGATCATGATATTTTTGTTTGTTTTATCATTATTATTATTATTTATTATTTTTTTTTATAAGGACCAAGACCTTTTAGGAGGCTTTCATTCAGGACTTTCACTGGAAGAAGGAACAGCAGCTCTGTTAATCTTAGAAAAAAATAAATGAAGAACGGATAAAGGAAAGATGGAAAGTAATTTTGAGTTGAAGGATATGACAGGGTTCGATTCTAGCATACCATGGCACTGTCATGTCATATCACGAGGAAAGTGGGCCAACTTGAGGACTCGAACATCCCGAGAGAAAACACGTGTCATAAGAAGAGCGACAGAAGACAATTGGTCATCTGAAAGGGCCTTGTAGTTTTTTTTCACGATATATATGTTTAAATAGATAGATGCTTATCTAGGTTCTGATATATATACATATGTATATTATAGACTGATAGACTGATACATAGATTGATTGATATATAGAGAGGCTGATTGAAGGATATACAGATCTATCTATCTCTATGAATATACATTAACTAGATTGCAAATAACGAAATTTCCAGTTACATCCTTATGATTACCTGAGTATAACATATACGATAATGGAAATATAGAAATCACTGTACAGATAATGATAACTGTCCAGCTGAGAGTAGAAACACTGCATTTCAAGGGCTCGATAACCACCCCCTCAGGCTATGAGAGAAAGGCCTACAGCGGAGACAACGCACGAACGCACGCACACTGTCGCATATATAAGGCGAAGTGTCAATCACCAGTTATCATTCACTCTCCAACCATGTCTCTCAAGGTACGAAGTCCTCCTCTGAAAAGAAATTCAGACATTTTATATGTGAAAGAGTTTCAGTGAGGGAAAAAATGGAATGTGATTTTGTTTGGAAAATGCTACAAGTGTTTGTTTGAATTTATATTCTACGGTTATTTTTGTTTATTCACGCATTTATCTCCCTATCTTAATGAATATATATATATATATATATTTTTTATGATAATCTATTCTTCTTTTTCTCCTTTAAAATAAATAACATGCAACACTGTCCACAGGTTGTCGTCCTCGCCTGCGCGGCTGTCGTTGCTCTGTGCGACAAGGCACCAGTCCACGACCCCCACCCACCCGTCTACACCCCTAGACCTGCTTATCATGCCCCAGCACCTTACCACGCCCCCGAACCCGCCTACCACGCCCATGCACACTACGAGCCCGAATACCCCGATGTGAGTATTGTGCAATTACTAAGCAGTCACTACATTATCATTTATGACTTTATTGGTATTTTTTGTTTTTCGTTATCTAATCTGTCCTCCAGTTCTTTGCTATTTTTATATAGATATAAATCACAGTGGATACATAATACGAAACGTTTAACATTAAACTTTCACCTCCTCAGGTGCCCCCGAAGTACAACTACAACTACGGCGTCGCCGACGGTTACTCCGGCGCCAACTTCGCCGCCTCGGAGTCCCGTGAAGGCTACAAGACCGAAGGCGGCTACTCCGTAGACCTCCCCGACGGCCGCAAGCAGATCGTCAAGTACGTGGACAACGGCGACGGTTATGTAGCTGAGGTCACCTACGAGGGCGAGGCTCAGTACCCCGAGTACAAGCCCACCTACAAGCCTGCTCCCCACGCCTATGCTCACCCAACCCCCGCCTATGCCTAAGAAGTGCTCGAGGCTTTTAGAGAAAATCTATAAATTTCCTGATGATTCGTGGATTTTCAGGCTCATATTTTCTGACAAGCTACTCTAAATAAAGACCTTATCTTTTATAAACATGAAATATTATTTAACAGAAAGCCTAACTCATCAGGTCTCCCACCAAATTGAATTCAATTGTATTTCACCGAACTATACTCTTTCATACAAACCAGATATACCGTGGTCAAACAACGATCGGGATGAATGAATAAAGAAAACAAAGGAATGAAATGAAGGATATATATGTATATATATGTATGTATGTATATAAATACACACACACATATAAGTGTGTGTCCATATATATACACATATATACATAAACACATATCTCTATATCTATCTATATATCTGTCTATGTATATACATATATACATACACACACATGAATATATATCATATACATATATATATATACATGTTTACCTACATACATATATACATGTTTACATACATATATATATACATACATATACATAATATACATATATATATATACATATATATACATATATATGTTCATACATATACATGATGTATATACATATACATATACACACATATATACATATAAATACACACACACACACATATATGTATATATGTGTGTGTGTGTGAGAGTAATTATAATACAAATATAGATATGTATATATATAATATACATATGTATATATAATGAAATGATATATATACATATATATATAGTGTAATTATACATATATATAACGGAATAGGCAGTGATATAACTATATCCCAACTATGATTTATTTATGCTTGTGAGAATGACTGGCAATTCGAATATGCACCGAAATGAATGACATTAATTGCGATTCCGTTGTATTAAGAAACTTTCTCTTATGCAGCTACTCATGGGGAAAGAATCACACTACCAGTTCATGTATAGTTTTCTAACATCTTTCTTTCAATCGTTTTTAATAGATTATTCATTATGTAATTTCATAGAAAATATGATAATGCGAAATATATAGTGATATGACAAAATCGTAATAAATATACTGTCAATTTACAGAAGGGTGTCTGAGGGAAAAGAGTGTTGACCCTTCCTTATTCTTAAAAAAAGTTGGGCAGAGTGACCACATGTCATAAAGATAAGAATGATATTTTTGTTTGTTTCATTTCTTTTTTTGTTTTTTTTAATAAGGACCAAGACCTTTTAGGAGGCTCTCATTCAGGATTTTCACTGGAAAAAAAAGCCCAGACGCTTGTTACTCTTAGGAAAAAAAGGAAGAACGGATAAAGGAAAGATGGAAAGTAGTTTTGAGTTCAAGGATATGACAGGGTTCGGTTCTGGCATACCATGGCACTGTCATGTCATGTCAGGAGGAAGGTGGGCCAACCAGAGGACTCGAACATCCCGAGAGAAAACACGAGTCATAAGGAGAAGAGCGACAAAAGATAATTGGTCAAAGGTTCATCTGAAAGGGCCTTGTACGTTTTTTTTCGCGATATATGTGTTTAAATAGATAGATGCTTATCTAGGTTCTGATATATATATATATATATATATATATATATATATATATGTATGTATATCTATATATACATATATATGCGTATATTATAGACTGATACATAGATAGATTGATATATAGAAAGGCTGATTGAAGGATATACAGATCTATCTCTATAAATATACATTAATTAGATTGCAAATAAAGACATTTCCAGTTACATCCATATGATTACCTGAGTATAATATATACGACAATGGAAATATCGAAATCGCTGTACAGATGATGATAATTGTCCAGATGAGAAACACTGCATTTCAAGGGCTCGATAACCACTCCCTCAGGCTATGAGAGAAAGGCCTACAGCGGAGTCAACGCACGAACGCACGCACACTGTCGCATATATAAGGGGAAGTGTCAATCACCAGTTATCATTCACTCTCTAACCATGTCTCTCAAGGTACGAAGTCGTCCTCTGAAAAGAAATTCAGACATTTTATATATGAATTTTCGAAGTGTTTCAGTGAGGGAAAAAAACGAAATGTGATTTTGTTTGGAAAATGCTACATGTGTTTGTTTAGATTTGCTTTATATTCTATAATTTTGTTTATTCATGCATTTATCTACCTCTCTTAATGAATAGTTTTTTTTTATGATAATCCATCTTTCTCTTTTTCTGTCCACAGGTCGTCGTCCTCGCCTGCGTGGCTGTCGTTGCTCTGTGCGACAAGGCACCAGTCCACGACCCCCACCCCCCCGTCTACACCCCTAGACCTGCCTATCACGCCCCTGCACCTTATCACGCCCCCGAACCCGCCTATCACGCCCATGCACACTACGAGCCCGAATACCCCGATGTGAGTATTGTGCAATCACTAAGCAGTCACCACAATTATCATTTACGAGTTTATTGTTTTTTTTTTTCGTTATCGAATCTGTCCTCCAGTTCTTTGACATTCTTATATAGATATGAAGCACAGTGGATACATAAAATACGAAACGTTTTACATTAAACTTTCAACTCCTCAGGTGCCCCCGAAGTACAACTACAACTACGGCGTTGCCGACGGCTACTCCGGCGCCAACTTCGCCGCCTCGGAGTCCCGCGAAGGCTACAAGACCGAAGGCGGCTACACCGTGGACCTCCCCGACGGCCGCAAGCAGATCGTCAAGTACGTGGACAACGGCGACGGTTATGTAGCTGAGGTGACCTACGAGGGCGAGGCTCAGTACCCCGAGTACAAGCCCACCTACAAGCCTGCTCCCCACGCCTATGCCCACCCAACCCCCGCCTATGCCTAAGAAGTGCTCGAGGCTTTTAGAGAAAATCTATAAATTTCCTGATGATTCGTGGATTTTCAGGCTCATATATTCTACCAAGCTACTCTAAATAAAGACCTTATTTTTTATAAATATGAAATATTATTTAACAGAAAACCTAACTCATCAGGTCTCACACCAAATTGAATTTAAGTGTATATCACTGAATAATACTCTTTTAAATATATATCATATATACACATGTTTACACACATATACATATATATATATATATATATATATATATATATATATATATATGCATACATAATATATATATAGATACACACATGTTTGCATACATATATATATATATATATATATATATATATATATATGCATACATAATATATATACATACACAAATATATATATACATATATATATGTGTGTGTGTGTGTGATGTATATAGTTATACACACATACACACACACAATGTATATATATACATACATATATATATATATATATATATGTGTGTGTGTGTGTGTGTGTGTATGTGTGTATTTATACATTAAATATATGTATATATATATATACATGAATAGATAAATATATATACATATATATAAATGTATGTATATATATATTGTAGGTATACATACATTTATATATATCTATATATATATTTATTCATATACATGTATATATACATAAAGATAAAAAGATAGATGTAGATATAGGTATAGATGTATATACAGATATAAATATATATATACATATATATATACACATCTATACACACACACTCACACACATATATATATACATACATATACATGTTTATACATATATGTATATACATATACATATATATGGATATATACACATACATACATACATATATATATATATATATATATATATATATATATATATATATATATATAAGTAAATACATACACAAGTAACTAAATTAATGATTATATATATTATACATACATATATATGTACATATGCATATATACATATATGGAAATATGTATGTATATGTATACAGTCAGGACATATTGGTAAAACGTAATTTTGTTTTAATCTTTAAGGCATTTATGTAATCATTAAGACAACGACTGTGATAATTATCCCAAGACAATGATTGTAATGATTATCTGCGTACGGCCAGTTTTTTTTTCAATCTTCGCCACAAACCTCTGTCCTTCCACATACTTTCCGAAGCGCAGTCCAGCCCCTGTGGTCTTCATTTCGGTTCCTCTGTGGTCTTTCTCTTATCGATCTTCTTACGTCATTCCTTGTGTAATGATCATTAGATCTTCGCTCTCTTTTGGCGTTCGATAAAGCCTGAAGTTTCTCCTCTTGATATTAACTTTTTTGGGTCCTTTGTTCCTCCCCCACCCCATATATCGCTCAAACACACTGGTGAGGGTAAGTTTAGAAAAAAAAATAGGGATAGGGTTGGGAAATTATGTACATAACTTACAACCATGATTTTATTAATCTATGGCTTATCTTAAATACTTGAACCTGTGGACAACTGCGGATTATAAACAAATCTTAGGGTTGAGTGTATTCCAAAGCCCCAGGGGTTATTTTCCATGCTTCTTCTACACCTTAGTTCTTCATCGTAGTTCTCTTACAATGTACACTTTCTGTTGTTCTTAGAAAAAAAGTTAATTAGAATAAGTAAAATCAAATAATGATACGGTCTCTAAACTATTGTCTTAAAACAGTCACTATAATGATTTTAAGCTATATTTTGTATTCTACCATGTTAATCAAAGTTATATGCATCTCGCCATTGGTTTCCCACATAATACTGTAATAAGTTGTTCCAATGTGCTTGGTGCCAAAGCCTACCAAATAGCTCGTAGAAGTCCATTAATATTTTTCTAATAGTATTTTTTACTCATTGTTTATTTATTTACTTACATATCTATTTATGCGATTTCTTGTTTGCTGGTATGAGGATTGTTTCCGCTCACTGAATGAACTCACTGAATCAGTAAGATATTTATCACTCAAAATTTTTCCTTAGGATGGTTAAACATAATTTGGGATTTATAAGAATAACAGTTTTATTTCATACATGAGAAAACTCAATGTCTTGTGGGGTCAGCAGGTGGACAGTCATTGGACAAAACCTATAATTATGTGTGTGTATTTGTATATGTAAGTATATATATGCATATATATGTATCTGTTGTGTATATATGGATGTATATGTATATATGTACATATATATGCATGTATGTATGTACGTGCATGCATATGTGTGCATGTATATATATATGCACGTAAGTATACCTTTGCACATGTAAACACATACACACATACATGTAAACACGCACACACACACACATGAATATATTTGTATGCATCTATATATGCGTGTGTGTGTCAGAAAGTGAGATAGAAGAATAACCCGTAAATATATTTATCACAGTATGGCTCTCATTTGGAATCAATGCGCGCATAATAAACACACACGCTCACAAATAAAAATCGAAAGAACGATGCTTGGGTGCCCAGCGATCGACTAACCCACTTTAGAACGTCCTCGTGGTCACATATATTTCTCTATGGGAGGCATAAGTACTTAAGCATAGGTAGGAGAAGTTGGCTTGTAGGTGGGCTTGTACTCGGGGTACTGAGCCTCGCCCTCGTAGGTGACCTCAGCTACATAACCGTCGCCATTGTCCACGTACTTGACGATCTGCTTGCGGCCGTCGGCGAGGTCCACGGTGTAGCTGCCCTCGGTCTTGTAGCCGTCGCGGGACTCCGAGGCGGCAAAGTGGGCGCCGGAGTAGCTGTCGGCGACACCGTAGTTGTAGTTGTACTTCGGTGGGACCTGGACAGATGGAAAATTAATGAGGAATGGTTCTAAGAATGGTTCCATGGTACTTTGTATCTTTATGGAGTCAGAATAGTCTCTATGAACTGAAACTCTCTTAACGATTTGTAATAATGGTGGGCCCGATACTTACATCAGAGTATTCTTGCTCGTGGTGTTCGGGGGCGTGGTAGGCGGGCTTGGGGGTCTGGTAGGCGGGCTTGGGGGTCAGGTAGGCGGGCTCGGGGGTCTGGTAGGCGGGCTCGGGGGTCTGGTAGGCGAGCTTGGGGGTGTGGTAGGCAGGCTTGGGGGTCTGGTAGGCGGGCTCGGGGGTCTGGTAGGCGGGCTTGGGGGTCTGGTAGGCGGGCTCGGGGGTCTGGTAGGCGGGCTCGGGGGTCTGGTAGGCGGGCTCGGGGGTCTGGTAGGCGGGCTCGGGGGTCTGGTAGGCGGGCTCGGGGGTCTGGTAGGCGGGCTCGGGGGTCTGGTAGGCGGGCTCGGGGGTCTGGTAGGCGGGCTCGGGGGTCTGGTAGGCGGGCTCGGGGGTCTGGTAGGCGGGCTCGGGGGCGTGGTAGGTGGGCTTGGGGGCGTGATAGGTGGGCTTGGGGGCGTGGTAGGTGGGCTTGGGGGCGTGGTAGGCGGGCTTGGGGGTCTGGTAGGCGGGCTCGGGGGTCTGGTAGGCGGGCTCGGGGGCGTGGTAGGCGGGCTCGGGGGTCTGGTAGGCAGGCTTGGGGGCGTGGTAGGCGAGCTTGGGGGCGTGGTAGGTGGGATTGGGGGCGTGGTAGGTGGGCTTGGGGGCGTGGTAGGTGGGCTTGGGGGCGTGGTAGGTGGGCTCGGGGGCGTGGTAGGCCAGTTTGGGGGCGTGATAAGCGGGTTCAGGGGCGTTGTAGGCGGGTTCCAGGATGTGGTAAGGCAAAGGGACGTGGACGGGGGGAGGAGGGGCGTGGACGGGGGCCTTGTCGCACAGAGCGACGACAGCCACGCAGGCGAGGACGACGACCTGTGGACAGGCAGAGTTACATGTTATTTACATGGAGGAAAAAAAGGGAAAAGAGCCAACTTGTACAACATTAGACTGCGTGCTCTCCAGGCGCAGAAACAGATAGGGGGACCTGGTGAAAATTATTAGACCATTGCGTGCTTCTGTGTCAGTACAAATACTGAGAAGTTTTATATATGCGTATGCATAATTTTGTTTTGTATATATATACATACATACGTGCATACATTACGTAAGTACACACACGGACATGCACATACACACACACACACACACATATACTGTTTATATATGTAAACATATATATGTGTTTATATACACACACACTTATATATATCTGTGTATCTATATATCTATATATGTATACTTATATAAATGTATACACACACATATATACATATACACACATATATATGTATGGGTGTGTGTATGTGTGTGTGTTTGCGCGTGTTTGTGCGAGTGTGTTTATCGGTTAAACATACAAAATCACCTACTCCACTTAACCTTTCCCTGATTAAAAGTCAAAATTCATACAAGAGGATTTCGTACCTTGAGAGACATGGCTGAAGAGTGTATGATGGCTAATGGTTGGCACTTCCCCTTATATATAGGTGTACGTATGTTCGTTCGTGCGTCGGCTTCGCCCTAGGCTTTTCTTCCCTAGCCTAAAGGGATAATTTTCGAATCACTGAAATGCATTTTTACGAACGGTCAGTGGGACGACCAGTATCACTATTATCAAATACAGTATGCTATATTTAGATGTTTTTTTTCAGCTGATAACAGATTTTTTCGTAAATTTATAAAATAATATAGAAATACACATATGCACACATATAAAATTATATATGTATACATGCACTTACATCCATATATAAATCTATCTCTCTACCTCTTTATCTATCTGTTTATCTATCTGTATATATATGTATATATGTGTATATATCTATAACTGTCTATCTATCTATCTATATACACACACACATATGTGTGTATGCGTGTGTGTATTTATATATATATATATATATTTATATAACAATGTAGAAATACACATACAGATATGTATAAATATAAATTCATATATGTATACATATAAATTCATATATGTATACATATAAATTCATATATATATACATATAAATTCATATATGTATACATATAAATTCATATATGTATACATATAAATTCATATATGTATACTTATGAATTCATATATGTATACATATAAATTCATATATGTATACATATGAATTCATATATGTATACATATAAATTCATATATGTATACATACACTCACATCCATATATAAATCTATATCTCTATCTCTCTATTCGTCTGCCTATCTATCTATCTCTCTTTCTATCTGTCTATCTATCTATCTGTATATATATGTATATATATGTATATATATGTGTGTATGCGTGTATCTATCTCTCTATCTATATATAGATATCTGTGTGTGTGTGTGTGTGTGTTTGTGTGCATTTATATATAACAATTTAGAAATACACATATATATGTGTACACATATGAACACACACACACACATACTCACACATATATATATGTATATATATACATGTATACACACACACACTCACATATATATACGTATATATAGATAGATAGATAAATAGATAGCCAGATATATATATACATATATATATATATATATATATATATATATATATATATATATATATATATATATATATATATACATATAAGGTATATATATAGACATATAGATAGATATAGATATATATGCATATAAGGTATATATATATATATGTATATATATATATATATATATATATATATATATATATATATATATACATATATATATATATATATATATATATATATATATATGTATATATATATATATATATATATATATATATATATATATATATATATATTTCTATGAAAACACACACAGACATATGCGTGTGTTTTCCTGTGCTTCCTTTCATTGTCCTACTTGCAGTGTGTGTGCACACACACACACACACACATATATACACATATATATGTATATTTATATTTATATGTATGTATACTCACACACACATATATATATACATATATATAGACACACATAGCTATGTGTGTATATATATATATAACATATATGTATATATACATATATTTGCACACACACCCACACACACACATACACAAACACACATACATATATACATATATATACATATGTATGTATAAATATATATATGTATATATATATACATACATATATATCTATTCATTTATATATATATATTTGAATAAATATGTATATATATATCTATATATGTGTGTGTATGTATATACACACACACACACTCACTCACACACACACACACACACACACACACATAATATATGCATAATATATATATATATATATATATATATATATATATATATATATATATATATATATATATATATATATATGTAGGACCCATGCTGAAGAAATTTAAACAAAGAATGGAAGAACAAGAAAGCACACAAGTATATATATTCGTATGATTTCTTGTTCTTCCCATTGTTGTTTTATTTACAGCGTATTTATGTGTAAGTGTCTCTGAATGTATATATGTGTGTGTCTGTATATGTTATATGCAAATTCTTATGAACTCAGTAATTACTGGCCCGCTTTCGCACATCATCGCTGCTTTTGTTAATTCATATAAAGAAAGGTCGCTTTTGTTAATGGAAAAAATACTATATCTGTAATTCAAGTAAATTAAGTATGCTGAATTATAAGGAATCCTAATACAACACCGTGATGTGGAGAAAAGTTCAGAGCTTTACACCAGTCAAAGGTACTTTTAGAGTGAGTTTGAAAGCAATTATCTATCTTTCTCGGTCTTCCTGTAGAGATGGCCCCGTGTGAAGGTCTCTAACCCTCACACCTCGTATGTAAGCCCTCAGGTGAACTTGCCCAATGGTCTACCGTTTCCGTTTCCTTGGTGTGACAGCAAAGTGGCATACGAAAACCGAACTTTGTCATGTCCTTGAACTTATAAGTCCTTTTCCTTTCGTCACCTTTCCTTTCGTCAATTCTTTTCAAATAATGCTCGTTTGTAAGAGGTTTTTAACTTTGAGATTTTAATGATTGCAAAATGTGTAACGAAATACCTTTCCTTAACTTTTCTTTGTTAATTCTTCAAAATGCTGCAAGATTATAAATGGAGTATATATATATGTGTGTGTGTGTGTGTATGTATATATATATAGAGAGAGAGGGAGAGAGAGAGAAAGAGTGAGAGAGAGAAAGAGTGAGAGAGAGAAAGAGAGAAAGAGAGACTTAATTTATTGCAAAACACTCGTTGTAGTATACGAGGTCAAAGTCAATATCGACACATTATTAGCTGCATGTAGTGTTATCTCGTACTCTTTCTCGTACGTAAGTAGCATTTTAACTTTGGATGGATGTCAAAGCTTTCATGCATTGGACAATGATAATCCTAAGGGTAAGCCTCCTAAAAGGTCTTGGTCCTTCGTGAATAAATGTTCCGCACTGCAGGACACATACAAAAATAATCAATTAATCTAATTAAAAAAATTGTCTTAAAACGTGGTCGATATCTTGCCGACATTTTAAAATTTCCATGTTCGATATGTTTTGATTTATTCTATCAAATTTATTTACTCTTTTAGTTAATTCTCTTAAGTTGCTTTTTGTTCCTTTACTTTCATTATATGTCATGTAATTTGCATACCAGTGTTTTGATATCTATATACTTTTTTATGGATTAGTGTTGCATCCAATATTGTGAAAATTTATGCAGTTTTTTGTGTTCTGAAAGGTGATTTATGGATGACAATGCAAAATCAATCTAAAAGTCTAATGATGAGGAGATATAATCTAATGACACGAATGTTCAAGAATGGACAAAATCGAAATTCTGTATATACTTCTGCTTTTCGCACCACTTTTTAAGAACCGTATGGACATAGTGTTGTAATCTTTTTAACAGTCTGGTTTTATTTCTAATTCGTTTTAGAAACTCTGACTTTGACTGTGATTGCTAAATCTACCAATATATTTAATAGATTTACCACCTTTTTCTTGTACAAAGTAATATCTCATACACTTGCAATATATGCATATACAGCACACACACAAACATATATATATATATATATATATATATATATATATATATATACATATATATACACATGTGTGTGTGTATGTGAATAAATATATATTATGTACGTATATATATATATACATATATACATATATATTTCAAATATAACATAATACACATACACATACACATATACATACACATACGCACACACACACACATATATATATGTACATATAAACATACATATATGTGTGCACATATATATGTACATATAAACATATATATATGTGTGCACATATATATATATACATATACATATAGGCTATATAGACATACATATATATATATATATATATATACATTTTATATGTATATAAAAATACATATACCATACTTATAGCTATCTATCTATACATATACATATATGCATTTGTAAATACATATATAAATGCACACACACACACGCACAGATATATATATGTGTATATATATAAGTGTGTGTATATATATATGTATATAAATATACACTTAAATTACATATACAGACATGCATACATACATACATATATATATGCATATATATACACACACAAACACATAAACACACACACACATATACAAATACACTACTTATTATTGACTAATTAACGTATATGTAATTTAATTTTGTTTCCATGTTGGATTCAGTTATTTCCAAGACTGACGATTTTTTTCGATGATGTTTAAATAAAACCTCAGATTTATACATACATATAAAAAATAAGATCTTTATTTCATGTATGAGAAAACATATAATCTGCTGAATATATGTTCCAGACATATATTCCCATATATCATTTTCTCTAAAACACTTTCGTGCTTAGGCATCGGCGGGGGGAGCGGGCTTGTAGGTGGGCTTGTAGGTGGGCTTGTACTCGGGGTACTGAGCCTCGCCCTCGTAGGTGACCTCAGCTACATAACCGTCGCCGTTGTCCACGTAGTTGACGATCTGCTTGCGGCCGTCGGGGAGGTCCACGGTGTAGCTGCCCTCGGTCTTGTAGCCGTCGCGGGACTCCGAGGCGGCGAAGTTGGCGCCGGAGTAGCCGTCGGCGACACCGTAGTTGTAGTTGTACTGCGGAGTCGCCTGAGAAGATGAAATGTGAATGAGAATTGGTTCTCAGGTATTATTCACGGTATTTTGCATTTTCATAACTCATTACATTAATATTGACAAGGAAAGAGCAAGGATAAATCAATAAACAATTAATATGAAAGTAAAAAAATACCATCAATGATTCTCGTAAGTTAATCTGATCACGGAAATACTCACGTCAGCGTATTCGGGCTCGTATTGTTTGGGGGCGTGGTAGGCGGGCTCGGGTTTGTGGTAGGCGGGCTCAGGTTTGTGGTAGGCGGGCTCAGGAGCGTGGTAGGCGGGTTCGGGGGCGTGGTAGGCGGGCTCGGGGGCGTGGTAGGTGGGTTCGGGGGCGTGGTAGGCGGGCTCAGGTTTGTGGTAGGCGGGCTCAGGGGCGTGGTAGGCGGGTTCGGGGGCGTGGTAGGCGGGCTCAGGGGCGTGGTAGGCGGGCTCGGGGGCGTGGTAGGCGGGCTCGGGGGCGTGGTAGGCGGGTTTATGGGCGTGGTAGGAAGGTTTGGGGGCGTGGTAGGCGGGGGTTGGAGGGGCATACACTGGGGCCTTGTCGCACAGAGCGACGACAGCCACGCAGGCGAGGACGACGACCTGTGGACAAAGTTGCAAGTTATTAAGTATGATAAAAGAAAAAGAAAAAATCAACGAGACGATGTGTCTAACGGGTATCGATTCAGGAAACTAAGTGGCATCATATACTGTTGCTCAGAAAAGCACATGTTAAGAAATACATGTATACAAAGATCTACACACACACACACATATATATACACAGACATACATATATCCACAAAAACACTATTTCCCACACAACTTTCACAATTACTGCTGATAACCAAATACTTCGTAGATTCCTTCAGAAACTCCAGATATCTTTTCGTTAAAGGAGGACGACTTCGTACCTTGAGAGACATGACTGGCTGAGGGTATAGTGGCTGGTGGTCGACGCTTCCCCTTATATATGTGATGTCCGTGTGTGCGTACGTGTGTGTGTGTGTGTGTGTGTTCAGGTTCCGCTGTAGGCCATTCCCTTATAGCCTGAGGGGGGTATGTTTGAGGTCCTAAAATGCATTATTAGTAATCGAAAGCTGGACAGAGAAAATTTGGTACGACCTCTATATGCTATATTCCGTTTCTATTTGTTTGTTTATGAATTAACAAAATAATAACATTCGCACAAAAACAATACACACTTGCATACACAGGCACACACACACATACACACATATATACACACTCACACGTATGTGTGCTATATGCATATATATATACATATATGTATATATGTATACATACATATTTATATGTATATATATATCTACACACACACATCTATATCTATATATGTTCCTATATATATATGCACACATCCATATACATACACATATATACATATATATACACAGCCATGTATGTACATACATATATACACACATCCATATACATACATATATATGCATACTGTACACACACACACATATATATCCATAAACATACATATATATATATTTATATATATATATCTACACATACATAGATATGTATATCTATATATATATGCCTATATATACACACATATATATATATACATATATATATACATGTATATGCATACTTATATATAAACATGACCACAAACATACATTATACACACACATACACATATATATGTATATGTGTACACACACATGTATATCTATATACATATGCAAATATACATATACGTATAAATACATATGTATATACATTTACATATCCACACACATGTATATATATTTGCATATATATATAAATATATATACTCTACACATACACATATATGTGTATGCACACACACACAGATATGTACATTTCTACATACATACACATTCACACACGCGCGCGCGCGCGCACGCACACACACTCACACACACACACATATATATATATATACGTACATATATATGCTCTCTATGTATGTATACGTATGTATATGCACATACACGCATACACAGATTTGCATGTACTTTCATATTCGTGCCATCAGCGATGCGGTGTTTGACAAACTACTTGGCGTCATATTGACATCACGTAGTTGACTGAGTCTTCATACTGGGGAAGTTGACCCATGATCCTTCCCCATATACAATATATATGTATACACACACACGCACGACTCAATTAGTCTGTAGACACATGAATTTACATGCTCTTATATACACACTATGCGTATAAGTCTTTTCATAAACTTAATTCTGACCCTACTAATCAATAGCTCTGTTTGCTTTTCAATACAAATTATTATGAAAAAAAATGTATATTGTACAAATCTTTTATGAGCTTTTATGGTGAATGGACATATCTTTATCAGATAATATTTTAAAATAAAGAGTTATAGTTATGAAAAAAAAAACACAAATCAAATATATAAACAATAAATATAAAGAGCCCGTCATTATTCATATGGTCTTTCACTATCCCCCACCATGTATGTGTCTATGAATATATATACATATAGGCTCTACGTATGCCTACATGTACACCTACCTACCTACATAAATATTATATATACATACATATACATATATATATATATATATATATATATATATATATATATATATATATTCATATTTACACACGCGCACAAACACTCACACACACATACATACATATATAAATATATATATACATATATATATATATATATATATATATACATATGTGTGTGTGTGTGTGTGTGTGTGTGTGTGTGTGTGTATGCGTGTGCGTGTGTGTATTCGTTTATTATTGTGTTTATTTGCATGCTTAATTACACTGTATCAGTATATCTATCTATAAGTGTCTGTTTTGTATAAATAAATTGACATTTGTTTTTTCTCTTATTATTCTTCCTAAGTAGCAGTAAGGAAAGACAAATAACAAAATAAATCGCAATCACAGTAGTATGTATAAGGTCTCCGATGAAAAGACCAAATTCGAAAATCAAAATCCTTCGAAAGCATCGAAAACCTTCCTAATATAAACAGGAAGAGTCGGAAGCATCTCATTAACTTTTGAATTAAATCGTATCTCATTAATAAGGCAATAATTAGAATGGGTTTTCTTTTCGTTATGAATCCCATTGTGTAGTTAGCAGAACTTATTTGGTGGCTATTAATGAGTTTATCATTTATCCATCTGAGTGTTCGAGACGGTGATCGAGACAGAATTCGAGACATGTATAATGAGAGTTTTGACCGTGAGGGTACGGTTTGATTTTCCTTTCTAGTGTTCAATGTTCCTTTCTAGCTTCAGATAAATGTTGCTATAAAGGACCATATAATGGTACGGGTTATTCTCACATGTTGTTTTAGGATGGATTATAAGGTTTGAACTATCGTTAAAACACACACACATAATAAATAAGTAAATGTGCTTACTATAAATTGAACATAGATAAAAAGATTAATAGTGCTATATACAGTGATAATAATAAAACCATAATGTGTCAGTGGATGACAATTCAATAAGCTCATATTAGTAAAAAGTATGGTTAGGGGGGCTGATGCTTTCCAAATTCATAACATTCATATGATATTTTCTAAGCTGTGTGTATCTGACTGACTAATAAATCAATACGTATTGCGTAAATATGTATTGTTATATTTTTGCCTTGAATTATGTCATTATGATTTTCTAAAGAATTAAAATTTTCCTTGGATGTTTGAAGTAAAATTTCAGATTTATATAAAAAAACAAGATCTTTATTTCACATTGAATTAATATAATTCGTTGAATATACATGTGTCTGTCATATTCCTTGACATCATTCTGTTTATAATCATTCATTACTTAAGCATACGCTGGGGTAGGGTGAGCGGGCTTGTAGGTGGGCTTGTACTCGGGGTACTGAGCCTCGCCCTCATAAGTGACCTCAGCCACATAACCGTCGCCGTTGTCCACGTAGTTGACGATCTGCTTGCGGCCGTCGGGGAGGTCGACGGTGTAACTGCCCTCGGTCTTGTAGCCGTCGCGGGACTCCGAGGCGGCGAAGTTGGCGCCGGAGTAGCCGTCGGCGACGCCGTAGTTGTAGTTGTACTTTGGAGACACCTGAGAAAGTGAAATGTGAATGATAATAGTTTTTCAGGTATTATTTCTAGTATTTTATGCTTTCATAGATAACTATATCAACATTAAAACAAATACTATCAATGATTCTTATAAAGTATATCGATTCTGAAAATACTCACGTCAGCATATTCGGGCTCGTACTGTTTGGGGGCGTGGTAGACGGGCTCGGGGGCGTGGTAGGCAGGTTCGGGGGCGTGGTAGGTGGGCTCGGGTTTGTGGTAGGCGGGCTCGGGGGCGTGGTAGGCAGGTTCGGGGGCGTGGTAGGCGGGCTCAGGGGCATGGTAGGCGGGCTCGGGGGCGTGGTAGGCGGGTTCGGGGGCGTGGTAAGGAGCAGGGGCCTTGTAGGAAGGTCTAGGGGCGTAAACGGGGGGATGAGGGGCGTGGACTGGGGCCTTGTCGCACAGAGCGACGACAGCCACGCAGGCGAGGACGACGACCTGTGGACAGAGTTGCATATTATTTACTATGATAAAAGAAAAAAAAAAGGTCAACGACCCAGTACTTATCGAGACGTTATGTTGAACTAGTAGCGATTCAGGAAACTAAGTGAAACATGTATTATTGCTCAGACAAGCACTTGCTAGGTAATACACGTATGCAGACATTCACACACACATGTATATATATATACATATACACATATACACACATAAACGCTATTCCCAGACAACTTTCACAATCAAATACTTCGCATATTCTTTCCGAAACTTAAGGTATCTTTTGTTAAAGAAGGAGAACTTCTTACCTTGAGAGACATGACTGGCTGAGGGTATAGTGGCTGGTGGTTGACTTTTTTTCCTTATATATACGACGTCCGTGTGTGTGTGTATGTATCCGTGTGTTCGTATTCCGCTGTAGGCCTTTCCCTTTTAGCCTGAGGGGGGTATTTTCGAGTCCCTGAAATGCATTATTAGTAATCGAAAGCTGGACAGAGAACATTTGTTTTGTACGACCTTTATATGCTATATTCCGGTATATTTTTTGAATCAATAAAATTAAAACATTAAACATACACACACACACACACAGATATATATACATATGTCCATATAAACATGAACACAAACATACATTATATACATACACATACACACACGCATACACATATACCTATATATATACATATATATGCAAATATATAAACTGTATATACATATCTGTATATATGTTTATATATATGTAGATATATATACATATATATACATATGCATATACATTTACATTAAAACAATATCGCACACATGTATATATATACATACATATATATACATATATATAAGCATATGCATACATATACTGTAACGACACACGCACACACAAGCATATATATATGTGTATGTATACACACACATATATAAGTATGTACACACACACACAGATATGTATATATCTACATACATACACAATTACACACACACATCCATATATATATATGTACATATATACACGTACATATGTATGCTCTCTATATGTGTATGCGTATTTATATGCACATACACATATATGTATTTATGTATGTATATGCACACTCACACACATATATACATATACATTCGCAAACACCACATCAGCGATGCGGTGTTTGACGAACTACTTGGCATCATGTAAGCGACTGAGTCTTCATACTGGGGAAGCTGACCCATGATCCTTCCCTATATATAATATATATATTTACACACACACGCGCACGACTCAGTTAGCCTGTAGACACATGAATTTACATGCTCTTATACACACACTATGCGTAAAAGTTTATTCATAAACAATTCTAACCCTACTAATCAATAGGTTGGGTCCTCTATCAACTCAGCCTGCTTTTCATTTCAACAACTTACTATAAAGAAATGTATATTGTAAAATTCGTTTATGGAGAATGGACATACGTTTGTCAGATGATATTTGCAAATAAAGAATTATAGTTATAATCAAATATCAAATACTGATACACAAATCTAATATATAAACAAAAAATATTTAGAGCCTATCATTGTTCATATGGTCTTTCAGTATCATCCTTCACGTATGTGTCTATGAATATATATATACATAGGCCCTACGTATACCTACATGAATACCTACCTACCTACATAAATACTTATATATATATGTATATACACACTCATATATATGCATATACACGTATGCACACGCTCACGCACACACATACACACAAACACATATATTTGTATGTGTGCGTGTGCATGTGTGTTTGTATGAGTTTATTTGCGTGCTTGTTTACATTGTATCACTATATCTATCTGTCTATAAGTGTCTATTTCTGTGTATGTAAATTTATATTTGTTGTTTCTTGTCTTAGTATTCTTCCTAAGTAGAAGTAAGGAAAGACGAAACCACAATTAACAACTGATAAAATAAATCGCAATCACTGTAGTATTTGAAAATCAAGATCCTTCGAAAGCTTCAAAAATCTTGCTATCATTAACAAGAAGATTCAGAAGCATCTCATTAACTTTTGAATTAAATCGTATCTCATTAATTAGGCATCTCAATAATTAGAATGGGTTTTCTTTTTGTTATGAATCCCATTGTGTAATTAGTCATTAGTTTTTTGGTGGATATCAATGAGTTTATCTATCATTTATCCATTTGAGTCTTCGAGACAGTGATCGAGACAGAATTCGAGACATGTATAACGAGAGAATTTCCTTTCTAGTGTTCAATACTACTTCAGATAAATATTGTTATAGAGCACGATATACTGGTACGGGTTATTCTCATTGAGTGCAGTGATAATAATAATAAAAAGTATTGTTAGGGGCTGATGCTTTCCTAATTCATAGCATTCATATAATATTTTCTAAGCTGTGTATCTGACTGACTAATAAATCAATACGTTTTGCGTAAATACGTATTGTTATATTTTTGTCTTGAATTATGTCATTATGATTTCCTAAAGAATTAATTTTTTCCTTTGATGTTTGAAGAAAAATCTCATATTTATATAAAAACAAGATCTTTATTTCACATTGAATTAATATAATTCGTTGAATATACATGTGTCTGACATATATTCCTTGATATCATTCTCTTCATAAACATTCATTACTTAAGCATACGCTGGGGTAGGGTGAGCGGGCTTGTAGGTGGGCTTGTACTCGGGGTACTGAGCCTCGCCCTCGTATGTGACCTCAGCTACATAACCGTCGCCGTTGTCCACGTAGTTGACGATCTGCTTGCGGCCATCGGGAAGGTCGACGGTGTAGCTGCCCTCGGTCTTGTAGCCGTCGCGGGACTCCGAGGCGGCGAAATTGGCGCCGGAGTAACCGTCGGCGACGCCGTAGTTGTAGTTGTACTTTGGAGACACCTGAGAAAGTGAAATGTGAATGATAATAGTTTTTCAGGTATTATTTCTAGTATTTTATGCTTTCATAGATAATTATATCAACATTAAAACAAGAAGCCCCCCCCCCTCTAAAAAAAGAAAAGAAAAGAAAAAAAAAGAATTTACAAATACTATCAATGATTCTTATAAAGTATATTGACTCTGAAAATACTCACGTCAGCATATTCGGGCTCGTACTGTTTGGGGGCGTGGTAGACGGGTTCGGGGGCGTGGTAAGCAGGTTCGGGGGCGTGGTAGGCGGGCTCGGGTTTGTGGTAGGCGGGCTTGGGGGCGTGGTAGGCAGGTTCGGGGGCGTGGTAGGCGGGCTCAGGGGCATGGTAGGCGGGCTCGGGGGCGTGGTAGGCGGGTTCGGGGGCGTGGTAAGGAGCAGGGGCCTTGTAGGAAGGTCTAGGGGCGTAAACGGGGGGATGAGGGGCGTGGACTGGGGCCTTGTCGCACAGAGCGACGACAGCCACGCAGGCGAGGACGACGACCTGTGGACAGAGTTGCATATTATTTACCATGATAAAAGAAAAAAAAAAGGTCAACGACCCAGTACTTATCGAGACGTTATGTTGAACTAGTGTCGATTCAGGAAACTAAGTGAAACATGTATTATTGCTCAGACAAGCACTTGCTAAGTAATACACGTATGCAGACATTCACACAGAAATGTGTATATATATATATATACATACACACATTTACACACATAAACGCTATTCCCAGACAACTTTCACAATCAAATACTTCGCATATTCTTTCCGAAACTCAAGGTATCCTTTTGTTAAAGAACTTCTTACCTTGAGAGACATGACTGGCTGAGGGTATAGTGGCTGGAGGTTGACTTTTTTCCTTATATATACGACGTCCGTGTGTGTGTATGTATGCGTGTGTTCGAGTTCCGCTGTAGGCCTTTCCCTTATAGCCTGAGGGGGGTATTTCGAGTCCCTGAAATGCATTATTAGTAATCGAAAGCTGAACAGAGAAAATTTGTTTTGTACGACCTTTATACGCTATATTCCGGTATATTTTTTGAATCAATAAAATTAAAACATTAAACATACACACATACACACACACAGATATATATACATATGTCCATATAAACATGAACACAAACACACATTATATTCATAAACATACACACTCATATACACTCATATACACATATACCTATATTTATACATATATATGCAAATATATAAACTGTATATACATATATGTATATATGTTTATATATATGTAGATATATAAACATATATACATATGCATATACATTTACATTAAAACAATATCGCACACATGTATATATATATATACATACATATATATACATATATATATAAGCATATGCATACATATACTGTAACGACACACGCACACACAAGCATATATATATGCACACACATATATAAGTATGTACACACACACACACACAGATATGTATATATCTACATACATACACAATTACACACACACATCCATATATATATGTACATATATACACGTACATATGTATGCTCTCTATATGTGTATACGTATTTATATGCACATACACATATATGTCTTCATACTGGGGAAGCTGACCCATGATCCTTCCTTATATAAAATATATTCACACACACACACGCACGACTCAATTAGCCTGTAGACACATCAATTTACATGCTCTTATACACACACTATGCGTAAAAGTTTATTCATAAACAATTCTAACTCTACTAATCAATAGGTTGGGTCCTCTATCAACTCAGCCTGCTTTTCATTTCAACAACTTACTATAAAGAAATGTATATTGTAAAATTTGTTTATGGAGAATGGACATATCTTTGTCAGATGATATTTGTAAATAAAGAATTATAGTTATAATCAAATATCAA